TGGAACTCCAGGCTTCATGCTTGGTAGGCAGGTGCTCTACCACTTGAGCCTCTCCACCAGCCCCTCCACCATGTTTCACGTCTGTGAATGAACACTGCCCATGTAGATGTGCCACATGAGGTCATTCAGTGTGGTAGTCAAGAACTTGAACTCAGGACATCAACTACCCAGGTTCATATCCCAGTCCTTCTACCACCGGCTGTGGCCCTGGACAAGTTATCCAGTCTCTCTCTACTTCACTTGTAACCTTGCTACTTACTGCTTAATAGTACAGCCATGCATCACTTAAAGGCGGGGCACCCTCTGAGAAATGTGACCTTAGGTAATGTCATGTCTGTGTGAACATCACAGAGTACTGACATGAACATGGTACCAGGTGATGTAAAAACGGGACCATCATTTTGTTTGCGGTCTACCATTGACTGAAAAGTTCTTCTGACTCTACTGCACGGAGTCATGTGGATGTGTTGAATTTACAACAACAGCTGACATGTAGTGTTTATCATACACTGGGCGCCTTCTCAATACCTTACCCGATTATTAATTATAATGGTAATACAGGAAGAGTTTGGAGCCTTCCCTAGCTTGTGTAAAGAAATACTAAGTGAGAACATGAATCAAATATGACCTGTAAAGATTTGTTCACTTATGTAAAATGCATGAGATACTCAGAGACATATTACCTTATTTAATGTTGACAATTTATATCTAGAAATTAGGGGCTGTGGAAACTAGAGGAATACATTGCACCTCTTCAGGGTTTTTCATTTTTTAATTATTCATTTATTTTTTATATTTTGACACCAATCTCTATGACTGACCAGTTTTTTCCAAAAGTAGTGTTGACAGCCAGCCAGTATGGAAGACTGGCTGACCACATGGGCTTGGATTTCTATACCTTAAGTGGCAGAGAGCTGTGTGCTTGGGGACACCTGCTTTATCACCACCTGAGAGTTCCTAGGTCTGTTAGGAAATGCTGTGAAGGATGAAACTCCCTATTTCTTTCAGGAGAAACCCTGAGAGAAAGTTCTCTCAAGGCTCAGCCCAGGAAAAGCTTTGCTTCTTTGAATAGCTCCTTTGTGTGTACACCTTGAACCTCGGAATGGGACTCACTTCCTGCTTTGCTTTGGTCTGTAGAAATCTCAGAGGTAATTTGGTGCTACATCTTCAGTTCATTTGATGGGCTGCTTTCATCCCTTGATTATTTTTGTCCGTGTTTTCATGTGTTTATATTCTTTATCTTTATTTGTCATTTTATTTATATGCATCTTATAATCCTCTTCAAATTTTACATGTTTGAGGACAGGTAGAAGATTGAAATATATTCCAAGCCACCACACGTACACATGCATAAAACTCCAGACTTGCTGAGGAAATTGGGAGTCTGCTCCCTAGACAGCTGACCACTGGTTTATTCCAGTTAACTTCTGAGGCTTGGGAACAGCGTCTTCAGTCCTGATACTGTAATTGTGACAAGCCAGCTGTCCTTGGCAGTGCATCTGCCTTGTCACCTTAACCTAAACTTAACAAAATTTCCAATTTGTCTGATATTCTTTGCCATGCTCTTGTGCCATTATTTCAAAATAGTAGTGTGTTCTGAGAAATCGATGCTGAGATGTCAAGGCCTGAGAATCTGACTCTCCAACTACTGTGTAAGAGTGATTATGTTTAAGGCCCAATAAAGTGTTGAATCAGGCTGTTGTCTCTGGTTATCGGAAGGGCCCCAACTCTCCATCTTCTTCATCTTGAAGGTCAAAGCACCTTTCCATCTTATTCCTGTGTTATCTAGAGTGAGAACAATTATGCCCAAATGCCATGGAAAAGTGAGATTGCTACAGAGGCTGAACTCCTCAGTTTGTGTGGTCCAAGGAGTTGTCAGAAATTGTGCAATTCCATCCCAGAATTCTTCATCCTGAGCCAGCCTTCCCGCCCTGGGCTTCCTCCACCCAGTGTGGAATTCGCAGCAGGCTGTGAGCAGAGGGATGCATCTCTGTGCCCAGACTCTCTTCCCTCCTGCTGAGGCCACATGTTGTATGGGATTGTTCAGACCAGTGTGCTGCAGCTCACAAACAGAACCCAGACCGAGCTCACGATGTGGATCGGAGAATGTGGTTAAGATGAAGTGACAGTGTCTTTGAGAGCAGTATCTTGAACTGTGCGTATTTTTACAATAAGGAAATTTATGTCCCAATGAGACGGATACACGTGCCCATTCGCCAAGCATGTAATGAGCCTTAGAATTTCAGCGGCACTGCCGCAAGACTCTGCCGAGAATGCAGAGTCTAAAGGTCTGCCTGCTGCTCTTTGCTGTGCGCCTTTCAAAGCAATGCTCGGATCGTGCAGATCTGTGATCAAGTGAAGGACACGTGGTCCTCAGATCTAGGCAGCAGTTGATGCAGGTGGAACTCCGGATGTGTGGGAGGCTCCTTGGAACGTGGGATGATGTCACTGCAGTGCAGTAAGCCCGGGACAGATTCCCAGTGTGCCCACCTTTCCTGGTCACATCTGGGCAGAGCGATAAAGGTGTATTTATAGCAAAAACTTTAAAGAAACGTGTTTCAATTCTCTGAATCATTATAGGATTTCTTTTTCTCAAATAAGGCAGGATCTGAACAGATAGTAAATTAACTCTTCTCTTCTGGCCCTCGTTCTCGTTTGTATCTGTGTACACCTCCTGCAGTGTCACAGGCCTACTCTGCTGAGGGTGAGCAGTCCCCTAGGCTAGGACACTGTGTCAGAATGACAGCTGCAGTGTGCACACTAAACCTGAGTAACACTGGGTCTGGGGAGTTCTTGGTGCCTCCCTCAAGTTAAATCTCTTTTGCCTTTCAAGGAGAGTGTTGGCTTCACACTCTGCAGGTGTTTTCTGCAGGACAAGAAGCAAGGGGTGAGTTGAGGCCTCCCTTACTCCTGTCAGGAGTCCCTTACTCTGTGCTCAGCACCCACCTCTGTGAAAGGATGATGAGATGATGCCAAAGACTCAGACTGAAGACCTGGGGCTGCTGGAAGGGCATGGCCCACTGGCATTAATGCTACTCTGCTGCCATTGAAGTTGCCAAGGAAATTAGCAAGGGTAAACAAAAATCAGACTAGAGCAACTGGGACTATTTAATGACCAGCTGCTTCGGGTCCAGTGTGTCATTAACCCTGTGGGGTGACTCTCTTTTTTGGGTTAGAGTTGTCCTAGGGTTATTTTAAAAACCATTTGGAATGATCAAAACTGTAGCTGCATTCTATCTTCTTCTGAAACTAAATGGAAGTTATTTCCAATGTAAATACAATGAAAAAAAAGATTATATGTTTTTTCATTGCTCTATAGTTATAAATTCTGGAAAGAGGTTCTGGTGAATTTCATTTTACTGTTTTCTACAAAGAAAGCTGGGGTCAGAGAACTTAATGAGATTAATTGTGTTTGGTGGTTGCAAGATGAAAACCAAGTAACTTTACAAAGTATCGCCCGTTTTATGTGTTTATACATAGTTTAGGAAAGCTCTGGCAAAAGTGCATGTTAAGTGCTCTTTGTCTGTAGATCTGATGACAATCTGTTTTGATGCCGTGGGAAATCTTTCCTGATCCATGCCTCTGTTCTTGTCCTCAGAAATGGAAATTAAGACATTAACAATTACAAGAAAAGGGGAAAGGAGTTGGTCTCAAGGATCCTTAGTGTCTCCTATTTTCAGAATTCTGTACATTTCTCTGACCTTTAATTTTCAGATGGTTAACCTTCTTGCTGTAGAAGGAAGACTTGATGGTGCCTAGTATACAGCAGGCATTCAATATAAATTGCCTCAGTGGATGAGTGAATGATTGAATCTAGACTTTATAGCTTTTGGGTACTGTCTTACCAAGTCTCTCCAACTTCTCTTCCCTGGGAAGAGGCAAATCCACCAAAGTATTCACACTTTGTTCAGCTTGTGGAATTTTCCAAAGGAATAGGAAACCAAGTCTCAAGTGAAGATACTCTGTGTTTCGACATTAGGATGGGTGTCTTAGAGATTTGTTTGAAGCCAGGAAAAATTGCATCAAGAGGAAGTAAAGCATACAGTAGACAGCATTGGAAATGCACAGGGCGTGCTCCCTGGGAGCCCAGATGGTTATTTTTAAACGTCCTTCATGCTAGCAAAGCTGTTAGCGTGCATCAAACAGGGCCACAGGTGGGCCTCAGTCCTGGGTAACCCTGGCCATAACCTCCATCCATAGGTGGTCACTGCTGTCCTCAGTGTCAACACCAAGCTCCCTCCATAGGCTGCAGACTCATGGGCAAGTGATACTGAGAGGGAGCCTGTACCTGAACTCCTCAGAGGCTCAAAAACCACTTCCAGGTCACAAGGTCAAAAACCACTTCCAGGGCACAAGGTCGGCCCTTCCTGTCTACCCTCGCTTCAGCCTCATTCACTGTCACATGGCGAGAGCACACAGCAGTAACCTGCTCCCTGCAAGTGTTCTGTCAGCTGCTGCAGACCAATTTTGCCCATGGCTGAAGAACTAGAAGCCAGGTGGCAGCTTTGCTTCTCCGTGGTGCCCCATGCACTATCCAGCATGGACACCATCTTAGCCTGTGCAGGCTACCAGGACTGGAGCAACTGTGTGTGCATCTCTCATGGCTCTGGAGACTAAGGTCAAAGACTAAGTCTAAGGTCAAGTTGACCTTGGACACAGCAAGATCTGTGTCTGTTGAGGGCTCTCTCGTTGGGTTGCAGATGGCCGAGGGGACTAATCCTACCGTACCCCACCCGCGTGACCTCATCTAACTCTAATTTTCTCCTCAAGCCCCAAACATCCCAGTACATCTCAGTACCGTTACATTAGGCTCAGACCTTCAATATATGAATGGGGGAGGAGAGACACAAATATCCAGGCCATACAAGCCTGGATTTGACCTGCGTGCCTCTCTCTTTCTTGGTCTCTTCTACCCTGCCTCTTTGGCTCTCTCTATCACAAGACCTTGGAGCCTCACTGGATGCTGTCATAATGAAAGAATTTATCTTCTTCCCCCTCAGAAACTCCCCAGATGAATGCAGTGTGGCCAAAGGCGGGAAGATGGTGAGCAGCCCAGACACCGTGGGGATGAGCTATGGCAACTACATGGAGGAGAAGCACATACCACCCCCAAACATGACCACCAATGAACGCAGAGTGATCGTCCCAGCAGGTCAGATGGTCACGAACTCCCTCTGGTTAGCAAAGCACGGTGGCCCTGAAGGAGGGAGAGGGTGTCCCAAACTTTGCTTCTCCTTGCGTGGGGCACTGGTCATGCCTCTGGTGTCTAGAGCAGTGGTTGTAAATAGAAGCCACCAGGAGTCTGTCCTTGTGGGGGAAGTGTTCACTGGGTGCCCTTAAAGTGAGAAAAATAAGGACAAACACACGTGCACACTCATACACACATTCACATACATGTGTGTTAGGTTTTAAGAACATCTGAGGGAAGTTCTCACATCTGAGATGACTCACAGCTCTATTTTGACAGGTAAGAATAAATAAGCATACTTTTAGAGAGAGGGGGAGAGGGTGGGAGGAAGAACGCCCAGGCAAACACAAAACACATGCATTTTTGTGTGTATATATTTGTGTGTGTGTCCTTGAAAAGTGGCCCTTATAGAGAGGAATTTCTCTTACTCTGAGATTATTGGGTATTAAAATGTCTTTTGTGAAGTACTAATTATGATGAACAGTAGGCCTGTTTGTTTCTCAAACTTTCTTATTCAGAAAAGGATGGAAGCTGACTATTGCTGTCTTCCATGTTCTTAAGATCTAGAATTCCAGTTCTTGCTGGCCTGTCATGCAGACTCTAATGACCAGAGTAATTACTTCTTCTCCGCAGAAGTGATTCAAGCTCAAGCTAAAGGAACAGTGTTCTTGAATGCAGGGGAAGTGGCCAGAACTGCATTATTTAGCAAAAGTAAAGACAGTCATAGAGTGAGGCAAGGCTCCTCAGGTGCACACGGCCTAAAGCCAACCTGCACTAACCGTCCTCCCCCGTAAGTGCTTTCTCGGTGTTAGGGGTCCTGGTAAACCTATCTGAGTCACGGTCTCACGCGAGCTTGGACGAGGTGTCCCTAGCATCATTCCCTGCTCAGGACCATGAAGTCAGGGTTAGTCTCCTGGCTAACCGCTGTTTCCAAGGCCACACAGCAGCTGGACGGCCAGGTGAGGATGCCCTTCCATCACGCATCCCTGTCACCCAGTCACCCACCATTCCGCCTCGGGGACTTGGGCCTGCTGTCACCTCAGCTTGAAACCCTTGATTCCAGGTCATTCCACATCTCTGATTATTGCTCTGTACTAACATCTCTTCAGAGAGGCCTCTCCTGACCATTCCTGTTTGGAGTAGCTCCCTACTCCACCCTGCTGTGTGTCATCCCCCCTTGGTCTTGTTTTCTCTGTTTTATTTGTTCTTATCTGGCATAATGTCACATTCTGATGTAAACATTTTCATCTCCCTCCTTCACTGGCACATAAGCCCCTCACCAAAAACCCCTATTTCCAGGGCCAGGTGCAGTGCTGGCCTGCAGTAGGTACTCTGTGAGCAGTAATGAGGGGATGGGGACAGAAAGGACATCAGCCCCTTGGGCACACTGCTGCACTGTTGCTTCTCCTTGTCACAGTGGAAAAGAAGTACTTGGGTAAGCTTCTGTGAGCCCCATCTCTCTTGGCCCCAGGTCTCCTGACTCATGTATTTGATGTGTCATGGCAGACTGGTTCAGATCTCTTCCATGTGGGATCCCCCTTACCCTGTGTAAGGTCACGTCCAGGTTGCTCCTGTCAACTTCCCAATAGAAAAGTTTGAGGTAGTGCAGTGGACCCGCCAAACATTGCACGTGCATCTGCAAGCTGGTTCCTCAGGTTTGTCACCATGTGGGTTTCGGCAAACCTTGAAGCTGACTAGATGCAAAGGCACCAAAGGGGGTCATCCTTCAGGAATGGCCCTTCCCTGGGCTGTTCATAGGTCACAGCAAAGGTGACGTCCCCATGTGCCTTAGAAGAGGGCAAAAGTGTTCTTAACATTTATTGAAAGGCAGGTGACAAATATTCGGAGGCCATCCATTTGGTTTGGTCGTGATAACTGAGCTGTGTATATGAGGCCACCTCACTTGCCACAGTGCCTTAGCACAGGAGACAGCCCTCTTGAATGGGAATGCAGATGTCTCAAGTGTACATTCTGGATGAGTTGTTTCTAAAACAGAGCCCAAGAGCCCAAATGAACCTGGGGAGGGGGCAGGAAGAGCAAGATCTGCTCCTTCATGAACAGGTTAAGGTGGAAACCCAAAGGCAGCCACTCCAGCCCCTCCTCCTGCACCTTGATCCTGATAGATACCATTTCTTTGACTGGGGCAAAACAAAGTTTTAGTTGTGTGAGAAGAGAGGCCAATCTGAGGGAGGGCTGGAGGAGTCTTTCCTTGCTTCTGGTAGAATCACAGGTGCTGGAGGCCATCTTGGTGCCATCTTGTCCCAGGTGGTGACATCCATGCACTGTGAGGTCATCAGTATCATTTTTAATAGGGCCAGACTCAAGTCTTTCCACATCCAGTGTTTAGAAAACACCTGCACAGTAAGTGCTCATTAAATTCTGGTTGCACAGATAGAGCCTGGTTCTGTAGGTGAGCTCGATTGGCTTTGGGTGGAAAGCTATTTCGTTCTCCTGGGGAAAGTTCTCTTTCTGTTCTCTCCTTCAGTTGCTTCATCCCCACACAGGCAGTTATTCAGTTAATTATGTTGGTTAGAGAGCTCTCTGTGGCTGATTTTGCAAGTTGTGTGTCTTTCAGTTATTGGTCAAGCTTCAGGTATGTGTGTTCACACACACACACACACACACACACACACACACACACACACACACCCCAGCTGCATTGCACAACCGGCGTGGCCATGTGGCTGCAGGACGCCAGGTGTGGCATCAGCTGCAGTGCCTGTCTCCAGCTCCAGCACAAGGATCCAGGTTCCTCACTTGGGCACATTTGGGACATGGAGCACTCTACGCAGATAGAAGTCCCCACCTGGTGCTGAGTGCACCACACTCACAATTGCTACTTGTTAGATACCTTGCTTATTGCCATAAATGCAAATCATAAATAGCCAAATGAGAAAATAAATTAAACCAGAATTCTTCCTCAGCATTTCCTGTCCATCACCTAACGTAGACATGCATGCCCTGGACGTCAGCACAGTCCAGATACAGAGTCCTGAAAGTTGGTGTGCAGACCAAAAGTTGATAAAAGAGAGGACGGGGGTTGCCCAGGTTCAGATGGGGCCCTGGTCTTGGAACTCAGTTTTGACATTTATTTGTTTGAGGTGTTTTGCCTTTACTTAACTCCAGAGCTATAGAGAAACCTGAAGAATATCCCTAACAACAGAATGTGCTTGCATATGTATGTATCATGTACCGTGATTTGGTATATTTATACTGCCTCTTATCTTAGAATGAATTTAAGAAAGTTCAAATAAATATACACAGATGGCAATAGCATCAACTTTAGAGAAGGAATTGTAAAGCAAGACTTCCACAGCGAGTGGGACAGGAAGCTGGGTGCATATATGTCGCAGGCATGTGTGTTGCTCGACTTGCTGTGTGTGGGTTACGTCCCAACAAGCTGGTTATAAATTGAAATTACTGTAAGCAGAAAAACGCGCTTTCTACACCCAGCGCATACAATATCCCAGCTCTGCTCTGATTATTCAGTGTGCTCAGAACTCTCACATTGCCTTATAAGTTCCCCTAGCCTGAGCCCTATCTTATAAAAAAGTGTCTAATAGCTTGTTAGACAGCAGTATTAAATACTGCAGTGACTGTGAAAAATGGACTGATTGCTCTGTGTCACTAGCCCAGGAACAGACTACACCTGCAGCTCCCTTGGTGTCACCTCTGAGCTCCACTGTGACAAACGGCATGAAGCCTAATACTAGGCCAGAGTCTGTCTTTCTGTGCTCCTGTCAACAACAGTCAAAGGCAAGTCGGTAGAACTCGGGACTCTGACTTCCAGGTGTTTGCAGCTCTGCCTCGCCACGGCTGTGAACAGAGCAACGTCTAGAAACGGTTGATTCCCACTGCACAGTGTCCTAAATGTCTGCCAGCAGGACAGTGTCGTCTGTGTGCTGGGTGTGCCTCTGTGCTCACTGGATGATTGTGGGGCTCCTGTTGCTTTTGAGCTAGTGACGTTGGGTCCAGCGACGTGCTAACCAAACGACCTACAAAGAGGAAGGCCCAGTCTTAATCCGCCATTCGTGAAAGTTGCAAGATGCTGACCGAGAGCAACAGGACCTCAGATTTTAGCAGCTTAGAGCATTTTGAAAGCCTTTTCTCTTTCTCCATCTTATTCCCTAAGACAGATAATAACATGTGAAGATCCCTACCTGTTTTTTTTTTTACATTTGTACTTTTATTTTTAAAATAATCCTGTCTGAGCACAAGCTCTTGTGAGCGTCAGCAGTTGTCTCAGAGATGGAGTGGCCCCATTCCTTTCCAAACTCACTCTTCCTTCTTTCACTTAATATGTCCCAATCACCATAAATAAAATCCCTTCGAGACTTGCAATCCTGCCTTCTTGGCCTGCAAATACTCACGACTGACACTTTTGAGTTGAGTCTAACTCAGCCCTCCATGCTCAGTCCCTTAGACCAGTCTGTGAGGTGTCCAGCAAGCATCAGGTACCTGGATACAGGTCACCTAAGGAGATGGCCAAGCCGGCCAGAGGTAGATAAGACCCACTACAGGATGCAGTCAGTTAGTGACAGACAGGAGTGTGTGATTCAGAGTGACCCAGACAAACGTTCCAGAACACTTGAGGAAGAGAGGTCAGAATAAACAAGATAGGTCACGAAAAGCTTCATTGATCCCCAGAATGATCTGATTTCCAAATGTGGTACCTCCACCATTTCCCTCTGTGACATCGTGTCCTTTGTCCTTCACTTTGCCGTGCTGTCTTGCATTTCCACAGCCCAGGGTCTTCATCCATGCTGCTCCTGATGCTGATCCTTCTTCCTTTGCCAGAAGATTCTGCTCATTCTTTAAGGCATCTTTGAAATCCACCCTGCCCACAAGGCCCTGCTTAATTCTTTGTCAAATTAATTTCTTCTTTATGATATGCCAATTCTTTCCACCATTTCTTATTTTGTTTCATATCCTTACTTAAATTTAATTCCACAAAGGATTTGAGA